AAACAATGTACTTCTTTAATTGGCATACGTGAGAAACCCTTATTGCACACCACATGGCTGAATTTCAAAAGGAGCACGTACGAGCTGTTTCACGGAACTTTGTGGAGTTGCTTCAACATGACCAGTTTCTTGATGTTACTGTCACTCTTCATGGCTTTGAACTGAAATCTAATCGTTTGTTACTGTCGGCATCAAGTGGCTACTTCCGAAGTTTATTTGATTTTTATGAGAACCAGTCCTCTGGAACGGCACACTATGACATTTCATCAGAGTACTTGACGGTGAAAGGGTTCCAGTTCATCATCCGTTTTCTGCATTCTCTTGGACAAGATTGGGAGGTGATTCCAGCTGAAGATTACGAACTCATATATGCGGCCGCAAGTTTCCTTCAAGTACATTCCTTGCAGTGCCTACTGAGCGATTTGATTGTTCATAGTCTTACGCCATCTTCTGTGTTAGGTAAACTATGCTAACATTGCAATCATGCCTTGGTAATAACTTTACAGATGCGCTCCGCCTTGCAAGTGTTTTTGATGATCGCCATTTGCATACGCAATCAATGATGCTTCTATTAAACAAATTCCACTTAATTGATGTGTTCACTTGCAACTCAAGGATAATCATTGGAGGTTGTGGAAAATTTTACATATCTCGGTAGTCTTGTTAGTTTTGACGGAAATGTATCTGATGAATTCAGTGCGAGAATCTCAGGCTCGAATTCTCTTTGCTAATCTGCGTCACTTGTTGCGCCAAAAAGCCATATAACTAGATCTTGAGGGTCACGTGTATCAGGCTACATTATGGGCTTCGTTGTTGTATGGGTTCAAGACGTGGCCTCTGGACATGTGATTTGAGACTTCTTCAGGTATCTAGCCTCATAAGTGTGGCTGGTTTTGGATGGCGTCAGTGTGTTAGTAACGAGGTGATTAGAAAGCGGGTATTTGGTTGTGCGGCTGGTACTTTAATCGGAAAAAACGTTCAGCATAAACGAATACACTGACTCGGTCATGTGCTGCGCGTGCCGAAACACCGTTTACCGAGACGTGTGTTGTTCACTGTGCCTCCTTCAGAATGGCGCAAACGCATGACTTGGCAGAAGGACGTGAAAGAAATCACGAAGCGTTTGGGTGTTGTTGGTGTTATACGTCTTCCAGGATGGGGCCTCCGTGACCCCACCTGTCTTCGCTGGAGACTGCAAGAAATGGCGGCTAATCGATGTCAGTGGCGTTCGTGCTGTCAGTTTCTTTCCAGATTGTCAGGTTGATCGGTTCGAGGTCTAGGCACCTCAGAATACTTGATATAGGCCAGCACTAGGTCCCCTCCCTCACCCACTCTTTTTCCTTTCTTTTAATCAGGGCTTTAAATATAATTGGACGAATCTTGTGGTTGCACGGCAGTGAACCATCAGTGTCAACACTGATGTTGCTGTCTTTGATGATGATGATGACTCCTAGAGCTTATACCATGATACACATTGGCATGATTTCCGAGGATAGAAGGAGCTTATTATGTTCATAGACTTCCTGGACGTTTTTTGGTGAGCCAGCGTGTCAAAAAGAACAGTCGAATGCGCCTCGGAAATCCAGAAGCACTAGAATTGTAAGTCGCTTATACATACGGGGCTGTTTTAGCACCTGACGGGGTATGAAGATTTGCTCAACGCAATCCATACCAGACCGGAATCCCGCTTGTTGGTCTCGAGTCAGCGTTTCACGAGCCAATGTAAGGCGACGAAGCACCATTGACGCTAACAGTCGCGTTACGACCGGGGTCAGACTGATACCCCTGTGGTTACCACACGCACTATAAGTCCCTTTTTTGAAAATGGGCACTATTACCAACTTCTTCTCCAGTTGTCTTGGACAGACTCCTTTTCCAAAATGCAAGCAAACAGACCAGACAAACGCTGATTGAGGATTTTATCCTCATCTTCGAACAATGTGAGTGGGAGGTCATCTTGACCAGAAGCTTGATGGCGCTTGAGAGAACACATGCAGTCGTAAACCTTGGAGGCCGTAGGGGGTTCCACGTCCAGGGTTATACTTCAACTGTGGGCTCCAGATGAGTGGCAACCGGTGGCCACGACAATTATTGTTCGAAGTATTCGCCCCACCTTGTGGAACATTCTATGGTCACCCTACAAAATCGGTAGTGATAACATAAAGCGCTGTCCAGAGCTAACATGCCTTTTAATATATCATAGTGGATGGAGCAGAAAGCCAAGGAGCCAATACAGAGTTGCACGACCGTTCAGCAAGACACAACACCGGGATACTGTCAAGGCGCATACACCTAGGTTCGCACGCTCACGTTCACTTGACGTCTGATAATTTGTCGCACCAACGTATGTTCGTGACCGGTTTGGGTATTCTGGAGATTTAAGGAGTGCCTCTCTTTGGGTTTGATATTCAGTGCTTGAGTGAACCTGATGGTGCTGTGTCACAGGTGAAATTCCCAGCACTATGCGAAGGGGTGGCAATCTCGTCCCAGTATGAGCCTACATCCGATGGTGGAGCATTTGGAAGAACTTCTTCTCCAGTTGTCTTGGACAGACTCCTTTTCCAAAATGCAAGCAAACAGACCAGACAAACGCTGATTGAGGATTTTATCCTCATCTTCGAACAATGTGAGTGGGAGGTCATCTTGACCAGAAGCTTGATGGCGCTTGAGAGAACACATGCAGTCGTAAACCTTGGAGGCCGTAGGGGGTTCCACGTCCAGGGTTATACTTCAACTGTGGGCTCCAGATGAGTGGCAACCGGTGGCCACGACAATTATTGTTCGAAGTATTCGCCACACCAGTTGGAGCGTTCTTTCATCATCATCACCAAAGTCAGCAACATCGTGCCCTTCCGATCTGTTATGGTTTCTCTCACGTGTGGTTCTCAGGGACAGGTCGCACGGATCAACTGAAATGATCTTCGGGCATTGCTGGCCTTCTGGACCCCTTCCATTTCCTTGGCTTTCTGTGTCCACCACACTTCACGGTTGGTTCGCACGCTCACGTTCACTTGACGTCTGATAATTTGTCGCACCAACGTATGTTCGTGACCGGTTTGGGTATTCTGGAGATTTAAGGAGTGCCTCTCTTTGGGTTTGATATTCAGTGCTTGAGTGAACCTGATGGTGCTGTGTCACAGGTGAAATTCCCAGCACTATGCGAAGGGGTGGCAATCTCGTCCCAGTATGAGCCTACATCCGATGGTGGAGCATTTGGAAGAGACTCTGGAAGGTGCTTCTGGTAAATTCGTCTAACGTCCGGATCTGCCAATCTCAGTTACCAAGCCATTTGTCCGCACCGTACGCAGCCCTGGAAAACGCAAGAAGTGACTTCGGACGAGCGCGTGGTCAGAGTCCATGGAGGCCGTAGGGGGTTCCACGTCCAGGGTTATACTTCAACTGTGGGCTCCAGATGAGTGGCAACCGGTGGCCACGACAATTATTGTTCGAAGTATTCGCCACACCAGTTGGAGCGTTCTTTCATCATCATCACCAAAGTCAGCAACATCGTGCCCTTCCGATCTGTTATGGTTTCTCTCACGTGTGGTTCTCAGGGACAGGTCGCACGGATCAACTGAAATGATCTTCGGGCATTGCTGGCCTTCTGGACCCCTTCCATTTCCTTGGCTTTCTGTGTCCACCACACTTCACGGTTGGTTCGCACGCTCACGTTCACTTGACGTCTGATAATTTGTCGGGTCAAGTTATACTCAGTACCAGCTGAGATACTTCTAGATATAAGCAGTGCCACTGTCAGGCCTGGTATCCAGTGCTTAATTAGTCCTGGTAGCGCTGTACCAGAAGCATAACTCCTAGCACTGTGCAGTGAGTTGGCGATCTCTTCGCGATATGAATTCACATCCGATGGTGGGGCATTCGGAAGAGACGATTCTGGTAAGTTCATCTAACATCCGGATTTTCCACCCTATCACTTGCTAAGCGATTTATGCCCACCTTACGCGGTCCTGGAAAACGAAGGGTGAAGCGACTTCGGACGAGCGCGTGGTTGGAATTTACAAATGTGTTCCAAAACGACCGGCAGCCAGTTATTGATCCGCGCCATTGGTAACTGGTGGCCATGTGGTAGATTTGGGTTTGTGGCCTGCACAGCGTTAGAGAACACCATGTGGCCAGACAGCATCTGCTATTTCAGCAGTTAGTACTGCATAAAAACAGTCTGCGGTCAGCACACAGTTGAAGCAATCGTTCACCATTGACTGTACTTAGGACTTCCTAATTCAGTCTCAGATACGCTAAGGCTGTCCACTTGTGCATTCATATCTCCGGCAACCACCACGACACCTGAGCTTTTGGCTCTCCGCAAAAGGGCTTTTAGTGTGTCCTAAGACCTGTCTTTGACGGCGTCAGAGCTACAGGCAGCTGGGGTGTAAACACGCATCGGCCAACTTTTCGCTTATGACACTACTTCACAGACGTTTCAAGGCAAACTGCACAGAGGAGACTGTCAACAAGTATCCGATCAAGAAAGGATACTTCCGTCTGGTTACTGAGGATGATACCAATCCCTGCATATCCCGCCGCAGTACACTGGATCACAAGAGGTGTGGGACGGGAATCGAGCGGGGACTGGTGGGTTGGTTAGTTAGCCCCTTTGCTTGCATCTTGAACTCTTGTTTCGGAGACAGCATATATCAATGCCAACGAATGCAGTGTAAGAGCAAGAGCAAATTGTTATCCTGCTTGCTTCAGCGTGTGGACATTGAAAACAGTCAGATAGTCTGGGCGTCGAGGCGTGAATATTGATTGCGAGATACCTAAAGATGTCGGTGCCATGTGACGAACAGATGTTACACGCAAAACCGATGCAAGTCGGAAGCAACCATCAGTGCTAAGTGCTGGGACTAGAACGAGTGAGTTACTAATGGGGTGGAGAGAGTGGGGAAGAACAAATATGCGAAAAAGAAAGAAGGGAGGCATCAGCAGTAGCCTGTTTTCGTTTACCCGCCCTGCTATATGCAGCAAGTAAGGCGACCCGGTTGATGGCATCACGTGACGACCGATTTGACATAAGTTCACTTGTGTACGAGCGATTCGTATATGGATTGGGTCTTCAGAGGCCAGGCGTCCCTGATAACCGAACATCACACCATTTTGACGGATGTGTCACGCGTAGGATACGGATCGAACGAAGGCATACACTGATTGGCCAGAATGTCAGTCAACCTGGATCGAGCACCTTAGCTCGACGCTTCTCACCCCTTCACGGAGATTCTAGCACGACCTTGTGGAACATTCTATGGTCACCCTACAAAATCGGTAGTGATAACATAAAGCGCTGTCCAGAGCTACCATGCCTTTTAATATATCATAGTGGATGGAGCAGAAAGCCAAGGAGCCAATACAGAGTTGCACGACCGTTCAGCAAGACACAACACCGGGATACTGTCAAGGCGCATACACCTAGACAGGAGGACGATTGGGGTCCTCAACCAAAGCCTTTGGCTCAAAAGCCTAACCGCAAGGCAGCGGTGTTTTGCGGGAAATGCATACACATCACTGTTTCTACGGAACAAGTTCCAAACCCAACCTGGAGGACCAGGAGATTGTGTTTGTCAGACCTCTCACCATTGACCAACCTGATACGAGAGACTCTGAGTGTCACGGTGACAATCCCCAGTATAACTCAATGGATCGTTGAGGTGCGCCAAACGTCACACCACGGTAAGGTCCAGTCTCTTCGTGAGGTAAGGTCCCGTCTCTTCGTGAGCATACAGTCCGTAGCTGCTTTTTCTGGCCGGTAATTTCGACGGCCTTTCTGCAGCAAATTCGGCCGAGTTGGTGGTGTTCACCAGACTTCTGACCACCTTCTGGGTGGTCATTCTATAGATCACGGCCTTCCTGACAGTCTCCATAACAGGCGCTGTGATTGATTGGCGACACGCGCCTTAACTGGAGGTCATGCCATGCCCCATACGTTACGATAGTCCCGCCAGGGCTGAAGTTTTCCTAGCAGAGTTCGTGTTGGTACAAATCAAGAGTTGTGCTAATTTGAAGGGCTTGGAGAATATTACCGATATGGTCTTTCCGTGGAAGGGTCCACATAGCCTTCCTGCTTTTGACTGGGGTGCTACATGATGTGATTGTGATCCCGTGTCTTGCTCTCTCATTGGATGGCCTTTTACTCGTAGTTGCTAATGTTTCGACTGTTCTGAACCACTTTGCTTGTCATCCGATTTCTAAGAATTCCCACTCTTCTTCAGGTGAGCTAATTAATATGGAAGCCAACCCAGACAGTCAAGGGGACGGGTCAAGCTACCATGAGCAGTCTTACTATGAGGGATTAGATGGTTCTTTACAAGACCAGGATTCAGAATATCAAACTGGTGAGGTGGAACAGCGGTCCCCGTTACGAGAGCAGGTTGGTTTCTTTATCGTTTGTTTGTCAGATTTCATTACTTTGTGGTGCCCCATTTTGTTAGTGTGGGTATGGCGTGAAGCTGAAGCTTTTTTTGTTTGTTTCATTTTAATGTGGTCGTAGCAAGGAAACCATGAACCCACAATTTGATGGCTTTCGGGTCGCTTTCACTTATCGTTTGGTATCGAGAGATGTCCTTGAGAATATATCAAAATCCCATTGGATAACCTTCTTTGTGGTTTATTACAGAGTAGAGACTGCTATCTCCTTAGTTGTATTGTGTTAAAAAGAAGTTTGGCTGCATTTGAAGCAGTTCTGATGCTATACTTCACTTGAGGATGTTGTCCTTTGGATTTGTGACGAAACCTATACGCCCAAGTAACTTGTTTAGTAGTGTTAAGTTATAGTTCAGCCTTTTATTAGCCATAAATCTGGAAGCCCTGTCTTCCCACACGTGATTCAATGGACCGGTGTGTAATGTTATCCTCACCCGGTACTCGATCCTGACCTGCGGTAACAATTAGACGTACCACAATACTCATAAACCCTTCGATAACCGACGACTGGTTTAACCTTTCTTTGGGCTCATCAAGTAGGCCCAGCCCCCGAGTTTCCGTCATCCTTATGTTGCAATTGAACCCAAACTGCTTACCAATTTAGTTTTCACAGGCGACTCACCCAAAACCCAGCTGAGTCTCCCGTTTATTCCGTAACTGAATATATCGCACCAGGTCATCTCCCTTGTATAGCTGTAGTCGCAGCCCTGAGATTCATTATCCCCACAGTCAATCTGTATCACATGGTAGTCAAAGGTTCTAAACCTTTGTTTGGTGTCCGTGACCCGCTTGCAAGAACTGACATGATTATCTAGTTATAAATGTAAGGCGCCAACGAACATGGTAGTTATGTTCAATAGTGCTGCCCTCGTGCTGCTGGCTCGCCAGTCACAGGTCATCGAGACACTGGCAAATTTTCTAGGCGACTAGTGGGGTTGTTAGGAGTATTGCATTCCAAAAAGTCGTGAGGGAGTTGACTTCCTAAGTAAATTCTTTTTACTACATCCATCTGGTGAATGTATTCCCTTACGGCATCATCTGAATTCAGCAGAAATTTGCAACTTCAGTTCGAAGAAATTTCAGGAATTGCTTTAGACGTCGTCAAATCACATTCCGATTCTACCCCGTGGTAGTCAAAGTTCAAGTTCAAGACTGGCGATAAGATTTGCACAAACCATCATTCCGCAGGAGACTGCTGCTGAATCTGACACCCAACCTTCTGCGCAGATGCGCGGTTGTAAGTGCACTTATGGGTGAACATTGTAGGCTCAAGGTTTCTACATTGAGTCTCTGCGCACAGTCCGTGGAGGAACGGTGCAAGCAATTGTGTCCCCACCGTTCCAGCCGTTGATAACAGTCGTAGTTTTGTCAACCGATGAGTGAAGTGAGGAAATCGAAATATGATTCTGAATACCTGTTCTCCTAAGCTTGAGTGCCTGATATCAGTGAGGTGCAACTCGACTGCACTTCAGTTTGGTGTCGCTGTACAAGAGACGCTTCGGAATGCGTTTGCTTATCCTTTTCTATAGCCAATGCGATGTTCACATTAGAATTCATATTAGAAGGAGCTGACAGTGCAGTGTACTTCATAGATGTAGAAGTCGAGAAGCACAAATAGGTCGATCCAGAGGCAGGAAGCACGCGAATATGTGAACAGAGAGGTGCTTTTAACCCCAGCGCTCTGTTCCTCGAAGTAATATAATTCAACCTCCTCCACCACCCACCCCACAGGAAATGAGTAATATGCACGCTAGACACGTTAGAGACCGAGGTGAGAGCTATCTACGATGAGGTTCCTCGTCGTAATATACGAAGGCCTGCCGAACTCAGTCCTGGAATGACTGTAGAGGGAGAACCAGCTTGTTTAGATCTGCTTTTCAAAGGGGACATCGTTGGGGCATCATTGGTAACCAGTAAGTTATCCGATGAAGCAAGCGGAACCAGTTACTAGACAAAATTATCGTAACCATTTTGTCCAGCTGATCGAAACAAACTGTAATCAGAATCCGTCCTTCCGAATGCATGTAGATCACCCGAAGCTGCTTGTGCCGTTGACTCTTATGAGGTATTTGCTTGACTTGGACTCTAAGATTCCTTATCTCTTTTTGGGGACTAGCTCCTGCGGTAAAATGACTCGATCTTTTTGCTGTCATAGACAGATTTGTTCCAGGAACGGTGGTCTGAAACGTTGCCTGAACTTATGGAGATCCACTTCTGGTCCCAGTAGTTAACTGTGTAAAGCCAATGCGCCACATACCCGTTTATACAATAGTTATCTGTATTTTCAACTGACTGCTCATATGACATCACCATTCAGGGCTAGCCTTTGCAGTCTTTGGGGTGTTCGAAGTTCAGTCAAGTTAGAAACTCTTCGAATCCCGAGGCATCCTGATCGAACTCATGCAGTCGACGGGTTCATTTGGGCTGTATCTCTGTGGCTTAAGTCTTCGGTTCTGAACAACTTTCGCCAGCGACCTGCCCTCTTCCACACTGATAAGCGTCTTCAGCTGATGAGCTGATCTTCCAGCCATAAACTTGATGCTCGAACGTCTTATCTGTAATGTTTCTTGGATAGAGGTTATCAAAATATTCACGGCAGATAGCTTCCCGTCCCTGTCCTAAACTTTTTGGACACCGTTATCATTATCGATCCCTAATGTAGCCGGTTACACTTCGATATACGGTGCTTCTTTTCTAGTTGCTCGCAGGATGATCCAAGGTCTACAGGGTGATAAACCTCATCACTTTGTTACGTACGTACGTAGTTGATGTATATTATTCCATTTAATGGCCTGCTTGCAGCGGTGGCTACATTTTGATTCACCGAAACTAATTTGGCCTCATATCCCTGCACTTCGGTGAAACAAGTCTAATTTGCCGTAACCTGCAAGTGTCAGCACACCGGGTGCGTATATTGGTTAAGGCTGCTCCTTAGTTTCACAGTGAGGTTTGACTGATCATCAAAAATTCCTGCTATCCCAGTGGACAATTCGACCACCAACTGCACAGTCTGAGCCACCTACATTTTTCTCTATATCAGGTCGTGCCCGGAATGTATACTCCGTGAAAAACAGAAAATCTTAAGGTGCCAAATCACGCCTCATGAATATCTGGTATTGTACATTTAGCGAGATTTAGGACCTTTCTGATGAGGTCAACTAGTTTGGTGATAGTTATTTTAAAGTCATCTCAATAAGCCAGCCTTTCATCCATTTGCGCTTTCTTCTTCCTACTCACGTTGTTCTTTAGGATCGATTTCTACCCATCGCCAATGTTGCGAAGATCATGAAGCGTGCTGTCCCAGGCAATGGAAAGGTAGTTCAAGTTGTCCAATTCACTGTTGCTTCCAGATAGCGAAAGATGCCAAAGAGTGCGTACAGGAGTGCGTTTCGGAATTTATCAGTTTCATAACTAGCGAGTAAGTCACACCCTAAGTTTGTTCCCTGTACATGTATGTCCACATAGAGCTGCAGAGCGATGCCAAGCGGAGAAACGAAAGACCATCAACGGTGAAGATATTCTTTGTGCCATGAATACGCTCGGCTTTGATAATTATGTCGAGCCCTTGAAGTCATTTCTGGTCAAATATCGTGAGGTTAGTATTTTTCCATGCAATAGAGGGGACGTCCAATTGGCACATGATGGCCGATATGTAGTGGATGAGAAATGTATTTTTGTTATTTTATTTTTCTTGCAGATAAGTAAACTCGAATCCTCCTTGATCGATCAACAGTCTTCTACGCCTCATGTTTTGACCTCGGTGTCCAACACTGTCGGATCAGCTGTTCTCCTAACTCCGACAATACTAAGCGCCACGGGCGCAGGTCTGACCACCGTGTCCACCAGTTCCTTAACGCCCGGTCGGCAGTTCGCCCTCATCAATGGAGCAGGTGAATTAACCGGAGAAACGGCTATCGATCCCTCCAGTTCGGCGTCTGATATCAAGGTTTCGGCAGCTACTATGGCCAGTTTGGGTACTTCTTTATCATCTTCTCTCGGAACGACAATCATTCTCCCGATATCTACGCAGGTAGGTTTTCCCATAGTTGCTGGTTTATTTAACTGCGTAATCACGTAGTTTTCCTTCTGCAAGCGTATGCCAAATTATTTCCCGTGTTCACCTTGCTGTTCCCTTTGTCGGGAAATACCCTTGGAATCATCCCTTTAATGTGTTGAGATGGGGTCTGATTCTAATCACACAAAATCAGATCGTGTCAAGAAGCTAATACGAGCCATTGAACTCCATCACACGGAGATATTATCTTTTACATGTTCGAGCTAATTATCGATCTAACATCCTTCATCTGGCGTTCCTCGTCACTCTGAGGTGATCGTTTAAAAGGATATTTTGAAAGATAAAAGAATTATGTCATCTAAATGCACTCGGATTTACTGGGGAAAATGTTTGTGATCTGACGAATTTTTATTTTGGCCTTACCAACAGGTACTCGGGGCTTAGGGTTAGAGTGGATATAACCAGTCAGTTCATTAGCTCTGTATTTTCTTTTATCATTATTATTATTCATTCGCTCCCAATGGGGCGAGATGGCTCAAGTGGTTAGAGCGCGAATTTACTGACCGGAAGGTCCGTGGTTCGAACCCGACCTCTGCCCCTCGACTTCCCCTGCTTAGGCATGGGCGACCTGGCAGTATCCCAGCCCTCGTGCTTCCTTCGGGTAGCATGGCAGCTAGACACCGGAAGGGTGTTACAGCTGAACGATTTTTTCTATTCGGTCCCAATGACTGGTGGGCCTAGAAAGCAGTGTCTTCCAAGTGCCTCTCATAATGCGGAAGCTGGTGGTCAGGAGGAAACTTTAATTAAAATACGTAACGTCGATAGTAACCGACCCTTCCAAGAAACTGAATAAAGCCCAACAGACTAGTGGTGGTTCGCACACGTAACGGGTTGCTTGTGCGTATCTGTCGGATTTCACGACAAATCAGAGTAGTATATTGTTGCGGTGACATTTGTTGTTAGAACCCAGCCTGATTAAAGGTAATCGCTGAAAGGCTGGACAGAAATAACACAACGATAGTGACAGCAGTTCTTTACTGTATTGAATTCTGTTATTTGAGGAAGCTAAGTAACTGGGTTGATCGCCGCATGCGTCGTGGGCCCGTTTTAGAAGCGCACACCAACTCCTACCACCCGTCCGGCTTGTTTACTATCGGTTCAGTAATGACTGTCCGTCAATCTGTACCTGAGTGGGTACACTAACTACTCCATTTTAGGTGTTATTGCTGTCAATTCTGCTTGTGGGTTACATAGCACAGTTGTCAGGACCCTTTTAATTGAAAAGTAGGTATGCAGAGCCTTACAGGGCTTTTGGAATTTTGATCTTTGAGTTATCCTTCCTTCTGCAACTTAATTAGAGCGTTGGCCTCCATAATAGTTTGGACATGCAGAGGTGTTCGCATTCATCATAGGGAGGAGGCAAACAACAGATTCGATCAATCAATATCCAGAAGTCCTTAATTCATCCTTTGGCGCTCTGTTTGGGACCCAGGTACTTTAAGGTGGTGAGCTCATAGTGTTCCCGTAGAGCATATAGCCTCTCACTGGATTAAAGAAGTTTTGTCTCCTTTTTTACTTCTCTCCCTGAAGCAGCTGTGTGTGGATTATCAGGACGGGGGCCGGCAGCCAATTGAATGACGACTGCTGGAATCGAACCTGGGTCATGGAAATTGTAGTCAGTCCTATCCAATTGACCCACTCAACTCTTAATTAACTCTCACCTACAGCCCGTATTAGATTTTCCTACGCTGCGCTAGACGGCTAAGGTGAATGGAAGCACTTTTCAGCAACAGACTCAACTGAATCCAGCTGAGTCTCGTTTGTGATGCTTTGAGGCTGTCCAGAACAAAACTCGGGAATCGCGCTTACCTGATAAACCCGAAGAAGGTCGAAACTGGTCATGGACTTTTAGAGTTTTCAGCAATCTTCTAAGTGGTGTGTTACGTTTAATGAATGAAATTAGTTCGCAACCTGGGCTTAGTACACCACCATGTTCAATACACATGTTCATTACCTCGTCTGCTGGTGTCTGCGGCGTCCCATTCATTAGACCTTCCTTCAAGCTGCCCGGCATTCTGTTCAGCGCTTCTAGGCCCCCAAACTGAGCGCACTCCCTAAGGGTGCCATATTGAAGCTTTATTGTCTCGTCTTCTAGTCCGCTAAACCGATAGATTTAATCAGTTTGTGGAATTTCCAAATGAATTCACAAATAAAATCAGTAAGAAGTCGTCCCAGTGAACTTGAGTGTAGGCCGTGGCAAATAGGATTGTCATAGGTTACCAGGCGTCGGTTGTGCTGTCCAACACCATTGGCATAAACTTTCGACTTGTTATGGCCGCTTTATTTCAAATAGATGACGGTGACTCACGCATTTTCAAATGCTAACTCGGAGGACTATTCTTCCAAATGTCATTTGAGTTACGCCAGCCTACAAAAATGAGCTTTCGAGTTTTTCTGATGCGGCCAAATGGCTTGTGACCGCAACAAGTTCGATAGACATCTTCACTTTGGTGCCGTAAGGAATACTGAAATCCGTCCGATAGATGAACCTAATGTGGTTCTACACTGCTTGGTCAGCATTCTCAAAAAGATAGCCCTGACCCAGTGACGTATCATCTGATTACTTTTAACAAAACCAATAAGACAGAACGAAACGTACCTATTTAAGTGACTGTCATCAACAGTGCTAATAACAAGCAGCATTCGCCGAACCCAGTACGAGGGACGGGAAGAAACAACTCAGTCACGGTCTGTCCATTTGAATTTCGCGACTTTATTGCCAATGAACTCAAAGGCATCTGCTGCTACATTGCTTGAACTGAGTTCTATATAAACTTAAACCTGGATTTTAATCACTTTTCTTGTAAGATGTCCCTGTTCTGGTTCCGCTTGGTGGAAGTTAATTGGTCTGTCGTGACATCAAGTTCGTTATATCGGCACCCTTGGTTAGGTATGCATTGCCTTTAAATGGTAGTAGGCCGTACCAAAACAAGCATGTGCTTGGTGATCTTCATTCATTCCCTTATTGTACATTTTCAAATTCCGAATTCTTCGTTACAATTGTGCCCTATTGTGTTCTCAACTCCACCTTCGCTCTATTGCCGGTTTATTCAGTTGGCGATCGTGAACGGAGCCACAACAACCGTCACTACCACGGATCAGACGGATAACCCAGGTGCCTGATGCAGCCCACTAGGTTGTGTATGGCTCCTTTTTCTATGCACATCAACGCCGCCGTATCCGTGGTTTTGCTCTCATTTTGGTCCTATTGATTTATATTTGTTTTTTCACTCATCCATACTCTACACTACCCCCTTAACATTTTATTGACATGTCTTGCCTACATCAATAAAGAATATAAATCTAAGCAGACTGCTATATCCACTTACGTACGTTACGTGCGCGTCTATTTGTGCACGGTTTTTATGTGGGTCTCGTACCACCCGTTTCGTCGTGGGTCCTCTAGTTCCCACCCGCCTGTGTATGACTGGACGCTAATTCACTGTTTGTTGTCAGTCATTCTTTTCCATCCAGTTTCTCCTCCTTACATTCATGTACTCTCTAATCTCCCCTGTCCACCTCCTCGTCCTGCATAGAACGTGTTGGTCAAATTGTAATACCCTGTGTGCGTCTTACTATTTCGTACGTTATGCCGGCTGGTTTTCTTGTACAGCTGCAAACAAACTATCTATATTGTGCGCTCTCTCTCTGCTCTCTTTGTATGTAAACTTTTTCACGGTGCCTTTTCCGTTCGTCGTCGTTCACCTTTTGGCATTCTTCATTACCTCTTCTGTGTAACAAAAAACGTGATTCTCTTCAATCCGTATCGATCTATCATGTTCCGATTTGTGTACGGCCAAGTTTTTCCTCTCCCCTCCACATTCTGCCTGTCTCTGACACGTCAAATACATTGCGCATTTATTCTCAAAACACGGAAGCTCGTGTATTATAGCATGATTTTCTATTTTTGGGTTGGCCTCTTGGGACCATTGCGTGTTAGTTTGGACAAGTTCGGACCATGAGGTCTCTACTCCACTGTACCATAGTATCGGCCTGTTCTGTCCTCCATCCACGTGGTCACTGAACTTTCACTGACGACATCGTCCCTAAGTTCATTTTCCACATCATCTCTGAGGTCGTTATAACCTTCCTCCATCTGGTTAACCGTTTCCGCATGTCGGCCGCCGAAGCAAGTGCTCAGCTTTACGCGAATGTAGTACGTGACGTAGATGAGTATCTGAAACAAAACAGATTGAGTCGTTTTAAGTGAGGCTTTTTAATACGCTATATTTATTTGTAGGTACTTTACCGTACAATTTCTCCTATACCCCCGAGAAAATAAGGGAAACCTGGTCGGATTGGGGTGGTGGGTGTAATAGAAGCTAAGAAAAGTGTTTAGGGTAGTGCATCAGATAGTTCTATACAAGGTTTTCCTTTTAAAATCACTGTCCATCAAGCTTGTTTCCATGTCAACCAGTGTGCACTATCTTGGTTTATCTCCACCTATTTTCCAAACTGGTAGCTTTGTAATACTCGGATCCCGTAACCACTTTATAGATTGCAGTGTACAGTATTATTAGGTTTTGAAGTGAGGCTGAAATGTTAGATGTGGTGGGAACGTAATGGAACCACGTGGTTGCTGGGTATTTCTATCCAGTTATTCCTCTGGTTATGAAACGGAACCTACTTTGTCGATTGCCATAAATGACCACACATTGATCGATCTATGCACTTGTGTCTCAGTAGCCATTTCCATATGGTTATAGTAATAATCTTCAACTATCATGAGTATTACTGCCACTTCAGGAACAAGAAAAGCCTCGCCCACCAGAGGCTGTCGCCGGTGAAACAGATAAACAATTCTGAGAGGGGTCGGTATACAGAGAGTCACTGTATGGAGGGAAGATTCAATATAGACCCTCAATTTACTCAGTGACAGTCGCCCGCTGTGTGACCAGTTAATGCCGAAACAAAAGCAGTGTGTGCCGCTGCGCGGTTGATGGCCGTCCGAATCGTAGGGGATATTGCAGTTTTATTCAGACCACTATCGGGATCCGATTACACAAAAGTAACTGTATTGAAACGAAGCCTGTAATATCTCTGAACTTGTGTTGGCCTACGGCCTAGTTTAACATGATCCATCCGTCGACTTCTTCATATTTTACATTAATAATAGCCAAAAGTACAGTATCCAAGATTACCAGCTACACTAAAATAGCCTTATTCACCGCCTTCGTTCATATCACCCATATATGAATGACCCACCAGTGGTTGAGTGGCAGTAATCTACCGATTATCTGTGATCAGTGCATTGCGGGCTTATTGGTCGCGAGCCGTGTCACCTCAAAATGGACTTGTTGTGGAACAGTTTATCACTTGACAGTCCGGCGCGTAACTGATGCATTACTGGGTTGGTCAGAGCAATGTCGATAAATTACGTCTGAAACTGGAGAAGCTGCTATTGTACTGCTGCAAATTGTACTACAATTTCAACCCACAATCAATCGTGCAATATATCACTAAAAGTTATGATGGTGGGGAACAATGAGTACGAAACCTGTGAACTATTGGGAAATAAAATTGAAATACACTCGCTGTCGTTCCAATTCAGCAGCTTGAAGTAAACAACTCAAAAGGCTGTGACATTACGCTGACGGATAGCGTTCGTGCTCATGTCGGCTTTCGAAGCCTGCTGCCCGCGATCGACGACCAACGAAGACGACAATTATGAAAATAATGGTCGTTCAGATGCGGAACTGTTTCTGTGACATGTACAGTGTCGGTGCCATCACTTCTGCCTTCACTGGGCACTTCAGTTGAAAGGCATATGTATCTACACTCAGCCAAGTGTGGATTTGCCTGTACGATTTCTCATACAGTGACCCTTCGTGTAACGGCCCCTTTCTAATGCAGCCAGTATTTCAATCCCCGAAGTGTTTTTCAGTCTTACTACCGAAACGACTTATAAGATGCAATCCCTCACTTATTCGACATGACACCGGTTTCCTAAGCTAATTTGACTTTTTGTTAGGCACTAAAAATCAGTGTTAGGAATTAAAGTTTACTTGTCACCCAATGCCTCTATGAGGATCGAGATGAGTAGTTTTGTCGTGCAGTCGAACTGAGTTTGCCTAGTTGGATCGACAACCAACTGACTCAAATTCGATCGGTTTTGGTTTTATCGGTCAACCTTGTAGGCATAATAGACAAATTCTTATTGGAATGTTTCGTTCTGGAGACCTTGTGAAATTAGATAGATTTTAACAACCCAAGTCACTCCATGCCAGGTTTGTCAAGCTGTCTACGCTATGTAGAAAGCTCCGAGCACTTTGAACATCATTTTTTGAAATGCCTAGAGTCACCACGTAGATTGCTCCTGTGGTACACCAACTCATGGTTTTCCCAGGACAAATGATCACTCGTCAGATGATGGGTTAGCTTACGTGAATCAAAAAGCTGAATAACAATGCACACAGACAGGAGAGAATCGCGGTCTTCGGGTGAATCCAATTCAGGCCCGGATAGACTTGTCCGACTCCCAAAGGACCTTCTCCTCCTCCAAGCCAAAATAAATAGCTGAACACCCCGTAGATGAGCCCCATCAGAATTGGGTAAACCACATGTGCCAATCGGACTGGAATGGAGGATATGAGCAGGTCCAGGATGGCCAGACATGCGGCCAAGGAGTGCTTGAGTTTGCCCCAGATACTGGAGAAGACACCTAAGACCCATAGAGAGACAAAGAAACCGGGACAAAAACAGAATGATAAATGAATTGGAAAATGTTTGGGACCGATTGGGAAGTCATCGTTTCAGAGGGGGTTGGTAAACAAACAAAATAAATCCACCGATTGTTTACCAAAACCCTCTGAGAGAATGATACATGCTTAGAAAGGTATATTGAATATCTGAGCACAATGAAATCTCCGATAACGGACCACCCGAGGGGACCCCACCGCAAGCAGTGTTGTATAACCATGTTAATTGAATACAGAGTTCTTTACAGTAAGGATTGTCTGTGTTTCACCCCAAAAGCGAGGCCATTAAGTAGCGGTGAATGTTACCAGAATTTTGAAATCTATATATTACCGCATGCACTAATCAGCTGGAACCAAATGTGCCCGTTGCTAGTTGTGTCTGTCTCTTATCGTCTGACACGTATGTGTTGGTCGATGCGTACACACTGATTGGCTGCACCGACTCGAATGGTTGCCCGCTTCAACCCTCTGATTGGTCCACTGTTTTAAAGTTCTTCCACACCGGTAGAAAGCACCACCTTCATATTTATGTCAGTCCTTCCGTATGCCTCAAAGGTGGAGACTTCACAACGGCCATTCAGGTCAGCATGACTTACATTCGAAAGGGAAGGCCACATCTAACCAACAGCGCGGGGCGAGCCGATCACCCGTCGTTGCTGTGATGGCAGTGGGCTTACAAACGTTTCATTACCAGTCGAACATAGATCCTCACTGTTGCGTTGTTAATCTTCCGTCGATTAGTGCTAAACTGTGTGTAACTCGAATGTCAAGCTCGGCAAACAGGTCAACAGCCACCTGATCAACGAGGAGTAAGCACATGAAAAAACGTTTCGGCAGCACACTACTTAAAAGTCTTCGGCAGCCTACGACTGGTTTCGCCCTTCTTCGGACTCATTGGGTAGGCGCAATTCCAAAATATCAATCATCCTTATGTTCCAACTGGGTCCGAATTGCACGAAATTTGGCTAATACATCAATCTGCTCACCAGTTTGGTTTACATGATAGGCTCATTTGAATTCCAGCTGAACCTTTTGTGTGTGTTCTTCAACTAAATATACAGAGATTCAGTGAAAATCAAGTTGATATAAAATGAGTGGTGTATACGCCCAGTATTTCGGCAAAATTCGAACGAATCCCTCGGTCACCATCAAGTGTAAACAGTACCGTGTTTCACATCTCAACTCAAGTGAATAAGAGCGTTGGCGAACGGAAGTGAATTTTCAGCCGGACGTTAAAAACACAGAGATTTGCAGGATATACCCGTCACAGTCTAAAGGATGGGAGGCGGTCATGAGGGAGTTTCTAACAAGACAGTGAGCAGAGTGTTCCGTCAACGTGGAATAGATCGTTTTCTTGCTATCATTCTATCTTGCTAGGTGTCAGGCGGAGCGAAGCTAACAGAAAATAAATACTGAAAGGTTCGGTATTGGGTAGAAAGCTAAACGAATGGTAGGAATAAACAGTTGAGCCCACTGAACAACTAGTTTGTACCTAAATACAGAAATACTATTCTTTATACTCGCTCACGCAAGAACAAAACGGGAGCGAGAATTTGCCGAGGCGTGGTACTCCACAGAAAAATCGATCAATAAACACCGACACTGATCCAGTCTATCAGCCGTTACGAGCGAAAGAACCACATGGTCACGGGACTCGGAGCTAAGAAACCTAACGGCAAACAACGGACTAATTGGGTCAAAGGAAGACAACCACGAAAAACAGAAGGCCAATCAAATGAGCAAAACCCACCCCACAAAGCAAGAAGGAAACGACCGAATCACAGCATGACAACCACATACAGAACTGCCAGATCGAATGCAACCAACGAGCCAACCAGAAACGGGAGATTGAAACCACGTGAGATTCACAGAAGACCAATCAAACTACAAGACGACCGTTTCCAGAACTACCAGATACTGTTTAGAAGCTATATAATCACAGGCAGAAGAGGAGGAATTCACCCATTGAACCCTGCACTGACGATGTCACCTCGATTGGTGATGAAACGTTTGCAATCCAACTGCCAAGCTCGGCGAACAGACCAACAACCAAATCTACTTGGTATTTTTTTCCGGGGTTTTCAACCATATCACGGTCAATTTGTAGGGCGTTTTCTTTTAGAAATAATAAACTGATGTACATGATATTTGATTGCTCAAATGCGCTTTCTTCGGACAAATCCGGCGATAGAAACGCCATTTTGTTATAATCAGATGATACTACAACAAACTCACTTAAGATCTTCGGTGGTTACGTCACATTTTCGCGTCTTTACAGACCGGTTTACTTAGTCTCGCTGGGTGATGTCTCATGAAGACCTTACTACTGAGCTGCGTGGTCTGCATTCCATATCCGTCGCTTACTAAATTAACCAGGTTTAGGTGTTTTAAAGAGGGCTGAATTATTCGTTGCACAACGGACCACTAACCAGAAGATTCCTTCCCCTGATTGAGAGAATCAAACCAACCAGTGCGAGGATGGAAGAACGCCCAGCAAACAGCATCCTTAATGATCGTCCGTTTCATCACTTAATGAGAACCGTGGCTTGTTAGGGGTTTCCAAAATATCACTCTGAGTGTGTTTTGGAGTGCTTTTTCTACTCAGTCATACAAACAAATGACGTTCTTTAAAGTGTGTTTATCTCGAAAGAGCGATTTATGTAAATCCTATGCAGTATCAGTAAAACATCAAATGTGCATGTAGCATTCGTTATGACGGAGAAATAATTGAATATATTGAAAGTCGACCCGACTGAACTCTGTGGCAGATTTCAGCCTAACACTCGATCTAAGAACATCTTAGACGAACCGTGTACTTGGATGCGATTGTGCCTTCCTTTCACAGCAGTCAGTATGCTCAGAAACATTTGATTCGACGTCAGTGATTAGCTGAAGAACCAACGGTTGCGCCATCCTTTCACCTAGTGAATCAGTGTGTCTTATCCATACGCAGCTACCTAACCCGTGCCACGGTAACTTCATCTTCCTTTCCCATGAATAGGCGCTCAGCGGAGGATGCATGTAGCATAGAGTGAAGCAGGGTTGCATCCAGCCGACACTCGGTTGGAACAGTTTTTTTATGAGTCTACACGATCCACATGCTGTATGAAGAATGCTCAGGTTATATTCCGAACAAGTAGCCGCCCCAGTGGGGTCCAGACACCATAACTCAAATAGCGGAGTAGCGAGGCAGGGAAACCACTCTCTAACCACTTAATTAGGTGGAAACTGAGCACATACAGCCGGTACAGAGTGACTCTTACGGTGAGTAAAGCGATAATCTATAGTGTAAGTCTGTCACGTTCATTATCCAACCACGAGCATCTTTCGCCCATCATCAGGCATTGTATTTTTTTCAAATAACTACACAGACATTTGCTGTATCGAAAATCTCCGGATTTGATTCTTGCGAATGTACTAACGAAACATTTGACTATAGGGGAAAATAGTTAGGTTGTACATATCCCACTCCGTCAACGGGTTCAAAGTATGCTGTTGTATACGAAAAGCTGTCAAGAATTGAAATTAGACCGAATTTCCCACGCATGTGTTTGTCCCCGACCGAGATGTACGTGGCAGATTTGATCACGTGAAACGACATTAGATAATAAAACATTTTTGAGTTTCTAGAGATTTACGATGGAATATCCTTTGAATTATACTGAAATGACAGTGTCGAATAATGAATCGGTGCTCCAAGAGATTATTACTCGCCTGGTATGCTTCGTCTTTCGATGGGGCTGGAGAAGTTGAGTTTTACTGCAAGATAAAAGGAGAAACTGCGAAGCCTGACAAATTTAACAGCTTTACTGTGTTTTCTGTATGGAGTGTAGTGCATGTAGTCTAGGTAAGAAACATGGAACGATGGAAGCCAGTGAGTGTTTGTTTCCCGTAGGATAAACGGCAGTACGTGGCATAAAAAACCTCCAGATAACTTTCTGTTTACAGTGCTTGTGCGCGCGCCTCACATTTCAAGTAATACACAAAGAGTTGGTACTTGATTGATGGAGAGGAGGAACCCGGTTCATTTTTCAGTGTTGCTGTTCGTTGATAAAACTTTGTCACAACGTACGCTTTTTGATTAGCTAAGATGACCACAAATACCACATACATGATCGGTCGTTACTGATTTATCTTCACCTCAACGTCGTGACGTGAGTGGTGCAACATTCAGTCGGAATAATTCCACTATTCAGCCGTTAGTGGTGGCCAATGGTCTGCTGGCCGAGTTTCACAGCTAGCTTGCAAACGTTTCGTCACCAGTCTTGGTGATATCATCAGTGTGCTCTGTTGTGTGACCTGTGCGCATGGCGCTGCCCAGTAGCCTTCCCACTTCAATACATCTGAGCTGGCATATATCAGGGTATATGAATGCTCGGTGTTGTTTTAAAGTAACCAAAAAATACATAGTTCTTGGGGTCAGACTGTGCGAATTCCTTGAGTGGAAACTATAGATCATCTTGTTAAGTATGCGGTATTTTTATGAATATTTTCTCAATATCAGAGTTTTGCCATTAAATACGACCACCATTTTAACGAATGAGTACTATTTTATGACCTTTATAAAATAGTAGTTGAGTTTGCCTGTTCATCAGGCCCCGAATGCAGCCTCATTTTATTTCCATGGATTAGAGGAGCTGCGGAAAACTATGCGAATGGACATTCGACTGCCTTAGGAATGTGATAATTTAGATTGAATACCGTACCACCTTAATCAACCTTAGGTGTCTGGTCCTAACAAACTTGTAATTTTCCCCTTGCGGCATTCTGAATTCTATTGAGTGGCTTCCCTTTTTGGATTGAGTTGGTCCCAGGTCCTTTAGCCTCACCCTCGACAGACACAACAGGACATCCTGAATTAGGAAAAAAGTTGAAGTGTGACTTTCTAAACTGATGTGGATTGAATGAGCATCAGGCATTCCAAAAATTGTCGCCGAACCTAAAAAAACTGCGGAAGTTAGCCCCAACTAACCAGATAGTTGTCTGTGCAATTCCTGCAATAAGGCTGTCTATCAACACCCTATTCAGAACAGTGAAAATGTTGCATCATCAATCAGCCTAGATTTAACCGAATAGAAACCAAAAATATGGTAAGTCAGCTACGTGGATTGATCTCTTGCAAAGACATTTACAGCATAGGAACTGTGTTATTTCCCATGTATATGAATGGACTAGTGAAACAGGAGATCATTCTTTCGGTTTTTACATACAAAAGACCCTCAGTTGTTTTATTTTCATTGGACCCCTTACAAGTGAGCATAACTATGTCACGCAAAGCTGGTCCAGTTGTACTCATCTCATGTCTACCCATCAAGTGAGTTTTCTAATACAGATGGCAGGATGAGTACTCCAAATGTCGACCTACTATAATTTATTTTTGAAGAGCATGGTCACAAACATAAAAAGTGAATGCAAGCGACGAATGCAATAGGGTAACAGGAGAACATGAGGGAAAAGAGAGAAACGTCTCATTCTAATTCATGCCACCAACGGTTCCATCCCAAAGTATGTAAAACATTTTGATATGGAAACACGCGTCTAAAGACCAACAAACGAAGAAAGACAAATAATGTTGAATGCTCTTCAAGCCGAGATAAGCTCTAGCCCAATCAAGACTCGCACATCAGGCACAAAGTGTCCGTCATACTGGGTCTGGTGTGAGATTAAATGGCAAAAATGTACATTCAACACCATGTGCCACGCATAGAAGTATCATAAGTACGCAGAGGGCCCATAATGGCAAGCAAACACACGTCACTAACTGTGACCTTAGGACGTCTCAGTCCAATAACATCCCTGGCGTATTGAGGAAAGCATATCCCTCGATGAGAGAGGATCATCGGTTGGTGGACCAAAAAGTCGACATCACAACCGATTGCATGTAGGGCTGAGATTATGGCGAGGGAATATCCATCAGCACCATACTTCTGCTTCTTCTCATTCCGCAGTCGTTCCGCACTTATCCGAGACTATTGTGACGTCTATTTACAGTTGCTCGGAGATTTGGAGAAGCGATCAGGTGAGGTTTGAATAAGGACGTCGAAGTAGTTGCTCTCAACTCCTCGAAGACGGTGCATCCCAGTCGACGGAGACTTTTGCGAGTTCCCTTGCAACCCAATTATGACGAGCACATCTGGCGTCATGCGTGATCCAACAGGATTGCAAAATATGCACCAAACTCTCCGGTTGGCCACAGTTTCCACAACATACGATCATCTGGCCACCATGAACATGTCGAGCGATTCTAACTCTCATCCTGAGAAGGTTGCATCGGAGCTAGATAGCTCGGATAAATATCCGAGGAAACACTCGTTCTGGAAATACGAACCATCGATTCGAGAGAGGCGAGGCGATTAACTCTCGTAAACCGCGACCGCCAAAGCTGTTGTGCAGACTATCACCCCAAGCAGCCACCAGCTCCTCCTTGGTGTTTACGCATGCACCGTGGACTCGGATCGGAAGGCTGAGATCCCGAACAACTTTGCCAAATGCGGAATCGTTGACCACATTGCGCAGTACTCGGCACTCAGTAGAAAGGAGCTTTTCCATACGCGTTTTCCGCTGCATCGGGATTGTTGCACTCAGACTTGGGATATCAAGTCCCCCAAGTTGTTTACCGGCGTGGATGTAGCTGATCGGGGTGTCCTTCGGTAGAAGTAGCCAGCCACGAATATATTTGCCTGATGTAGTTGTCCAGTCTTTTGAGCGTGTTTCGGTGAACTTGGTCGAGCACGAGCGAATATGTCAGCCTCGGTATCCGGTAGTTCCTCGTGATCTCCATTCACTGATGTGGCTTCAACGGGTTAGGGTTAGGGAGAAATCTCCCTAAATCACAGCTAAAAAACGATGATCATACCTACCGGTTCTGTGACGTATATGCACCCTAACTATCTGAACCCTTCCAGCCCTAACGCGCAAATAACATGATACACTCTACATGTCGCAAACATGCTTGTCTGGAAACGTGTCACGCGCTGTGCAGAGTGCACTTACTACCTTGGCTACAGGTTTAGACTGGCTCGTTTCCAATAGCAACGGACGGGCTACATATATCGACTAGCCCGTGCACCGCAAAACAAGACATGACATGGGTGAGCGCCTACCTAGAGGACGGAACTTCGTCGTGACAATAAACAATCCTACCGAAACTCCCGATGAGCTGGTACGACTATTCCTGGCTAACAATATACAATACGCCTTCCAAAGAGAAAGAGGAAGGGAAGAAGGAACAGAGCACTACCAAATGTGCTTGCACTTCCAAGACGCAAAAACCTGCAGACAAGTCATCACCCTCCTACCAGGATGCCACGTCGAATTCGCCAGAAATCCAATCGCCGCAAGAAGATACCGCGTTAAAGCTGATACCGGCATTGAAGGCCCGTGGACTAATAATGAGGAGAAAACGGAAGGAGCCAAGAGGGAGAACACTATGCACGAGATCGTTGAGAAGTACGAATCGGGTACACGAATACACCAACTCGCGGAAGAATACCCAAACCTATTCGCGAGAAACTTCAATAACATCTGCCGCACTTTGGACCTGGTCTGCCATTATACTCCGAGAAGCACCAAGACAGAAATTTTGTGGTTCTACGGAAAGACAGGAACCGGCAAATCAAGCAAGGCCTTACAAATGGTGGAATCTAAGTCTGTCTATTGGAAAAACTCGACCGAACCGGAACATTACTACGGCTGGGCCGACGAACAATACCGAGCCCTTATTCGAAGAATAAAACCGTAGTAATGTTCCGGGTCGTAGTTGCTGGTCAGTATAATTTGTTTGGAGTTGAACTGCTTGGTTCCTCCTTTACATTGGCCCATCAATAATCACCACCTCTTGTTGTTCGTAGTGGTCCCACCATTCGGTCAAGTTTTTCCAATAGACAGACTTAGATTCCACCATTTGTAAGGCCTTGCTTGATTTGCCGGTTCCTGTCTTTCCGTAGAACCACAAAATTTCTGTCTTGGTGCTTCTCGGAGTATAATGGCAGACCAGGTCCAAAGTGCGGCAGATGTTATTGAAGTTTCTCGCGAATAGGTTTGGGTATTCTTCCGCGAGTTGGTGTATTCGTGTACCCGATTCGTACTTCTCAACGATCTCGTGCATAGTGTTCTCTTTCTTGGCTCCTTCCGTTTTCTCCTCATCATTAGTCCACGGGCCTTCAATGCCGGTATCAGCTTTAACGCGGTATCTTCTTGCGGCGATTGGATTTCTGGCGAATTCGACGTGGCATCCTGGTAGGAGGGTGATGACTTGTCTGCAGGTTTTTGCGTCTTGGAAGTGCAAGCACATTTGGTAGTGCTCTGTTCCTTCTTCCCTTCCTCTTTCTCTTTGGAAGGCGTATTGTATATTGTTAGCCAGGAATAGTCGTACCAGCTCATCGGGAGTTTCGGTAGGATTGTTTATTGTCACGACGAAGTTCCGTCCTCTAGGTAGGCGCTCACCCATGTCATATCTTGTTTTGCGGTGCACGGGCTAGTCGATATATATATAGCCCGTCCGTTACTATAATGAGTAATGATGGCTTTTCGAGACCTCAGATGACAAACAGCTGGTTGCCAGATCGTCTGGTTTGTTCCTTAAAATTTACCATTCCATTCATCAAATTCATACACAGTTTATAGGATCAGGACAAGAGTTCTTCGGAGAAACGAATATGGGGTCTACCGTATCAATAGCTGGCCTTCATACGCTATCGAAACAGTAAACCCATCGCTTTTTTAACTGGATACGGATAAGGTGAGTAAAATGCATCTTGGGTCCAGATGACCCTGCTTGATTCAGCCTTTACATTGGTTACCGTATTTTAGTGGGTACATTTCGAGGATAATTTGACGGTGAAATCCTTTAATGTGTGTCATTGAGGTTAGAGACACTTTCGAATTTCTTATTGACTTGTTAAAGGTGAAGACATCCAGATGGACTCGATAGAGGACATTAAACACATTCAGATGTGGCAGGAGACTCCTGCTCACAGGTCAACTGAGGTACCACAATGAGGATTTTCGGGCCCAATAACTCCGTTCTTCATTCTGATTCATGACATCGTGGGCGAATGTCTTCATCACGCTGCAGTACCGTACTTTATCTTATTCTGGTGACAAGCTGTAAAGAATGGGTGAGCTGTGAAGATGCTTTAAACGTATACGCTTCATCTCACACGATGATTGTCGGGTGGTCAAATAAGCGTTTGATGGCGTGACTGATTAGTAACATGCCTATTTGTTCAAAAGCTAGAACTTCCGCACAAGGTCTTGTACTTGAGGTTTGCTTGGATCTGACAGTTGTGAATAGAGGCGTTTGAACGCTACCCGAAGCCTCAAATACAGAGTCTTTTGGAGCTTTGAATTTTTCTTCATTAAGCCATCCGTAACGTGGTTAGCAAGCAAAAGAGTTAACTGGACGCCGGGCATGGTGCTTCGGTTGAGCCCTTTCAAGGTTCTGACTTTTGAAGTTGGGTGGTCGAGGTTTTGTATCCTCGTACCAAATCTATTTCTGGACACACAGAATTTCATCTCAGTCGGTTGAGGGGCTACTGGATTTCGTTGTTATATATAACAAATCGTAACTAGTCATGAGGCTATGAAATCCGCCAAGCCAGCAACAATGAGATCAGCCTGTTCTGGCACTCCGCTGATAAGCAGTCTCTACCGTCCCATCAGAACGGATTCCATTTTGCTGACAACGGTTCACCATAATTTCTACAACTACGTTGTTCTGAACTCTCATAGTAACCTCGTCATATTCAGCATTTTGACAGCCACTCGTGTTTCGTGACGTCCAATCACCGACGTGAGACTTTTATCGGAGACCACAACTACAGTTCGAAGCCACAGTTTTTCATGGTGGCTAGGTGCGGCTAGTTCAGTGCCTCGAAACGATTTGTAAATTTTCATCCAGTTTGTTGCGCCATTCAAACAAAATTCAACTTCAAGTAATTCACTTTTCTGAAAACTTGCTCAAGCTAGGACGGCCATATGGGGTACACTAGGGTTTGGGATGTTCTTTTCCAGACATTTTTTCCGAGTGCTGCCTGGTTAAGAAATATATTTTGGTAGCACAAATATGGACCTAACGAAACATTTGCTAAAAGCAATGTTTCCTTAAAATTCTAGATGATACTCATAAGTATCCTTATATTATTATAAGGGAAACTACACAGTAAGTTGCTGCAAATTCTTTGGCATCCCACGACCAGTTTCGCTCTTCTTTGGGCTCATTGGGTAGGTGCAGTTCGCGAGCTTACGTCAACCTTATGTTTTGGTTGAACCCGCATTGCACAAGATTCCACAGTCACACCCATGCGAGCATCATAAACGAGAGATTCAGTTGAGTTCTAGGTAAGTCTCCCATGAAAACCAAACTGGTATGCAAATGAGTTTATTTCTCTTGTCCTTCCTTATATTTAGTTTGAGTGACTAGTTTCAAGCCAGTGTTGTATCAGGCCATTTGTAAAGACTAGAGCAAGCAGTCACACAGCGCAAATGGTTGGTCTCCTCATCTGCTCTAAAATGCAGATTTGTTTGTTTAGCCTCGGAGCCCAAGCCACTATGATTGAATTAATCTTATGTGAATCAGTCTTATACTTTCTTTCGGGGTCCCAATGTTAAGCCAGCAGATGAGTCGGCATTCCATGAACTGGCGAACAATGATCGCAATTGCTCAAACATCCTAACCATTTGTCGGAATATAGGTAGCTCGGCGAACAAATCAACTACCATCCGACCAACGACCAGCATCCTAACCATTCCGAACGTGAGCAATAAGCGTACACGCTGAGGACTGGGGGGAATATAACCTGGACAGAGATCTGCCCTCTTTTTGGATGGCAAGCAACCGTGAGTGATTCTATCTACAATGTGTCGGTTTGAAGGAGTGAAACAATGCCATTTTTTCGAAGAAAAAGCGGGGACGTGGTGGCATAAGAAGACAGTTGGAGTACGTAAAATAAGTGAAATCCAAAATTGTCGCTTTTCATTCATTCATCATCATCCTCATCATCAAGGGCGGCAGAATCAGTGTTGGCACTGATGCTTCACTGCCTTACTATTTGGTTATTAAAAACTCCACAATTTCTGATAAAACTCTGTGAACAGGAAGTGGAGGTGGAATGCAATTTGTTCGGCACAGAGTCGTCAGCATCTTTGTACGATTCAGATAGCTTTAGGATGCATGAGCTTAACACGACGTGTTGGGGCGAATAAGCAGATTGCTGGAATGCAAAAGTAAATGTATAATCTAGCTGGATTTCCCAAACCGCCTTTTTAGGTCAAACTGGTTCCGGATGAATGCAGTGGCTACCTTTAAGTACTTGAACGTATCAGAGGGGTTTGGTAAACAATCGGTGGGATTGCTGGAAAAGTAAATGTATAATCTAGCTGGATTTCCCAAACCGCCTTTTTAGGTCAAACTGGTTCCGGATGAATGCAGTGGCTACCCTACCTTACTTGAACGTATCAGAGGGGTTTGGTAAACAATCGGTGGATTTATTGCTGGGCAATGTTTCGCCATGAATAAGAGTGACTATCTTCATAAAGTTAGACAACACATAGCTGGTGGTCCTTACCGACAAATTAGTAACGGAAAGATCACGTCAATTATGAGTAAGAGTAAAGTTGAAGTTGGGAGGTATCTAAGATCTGTGATTAACCATCTGGGGCAAGGCAAGTGGTATCGATTGTACCAAAAAAGTGCAATCCAACCACGACTGTACGGGTTACCGAAAATTCACAAGGAAGGTGTCCCCATAAGACCAATAGTGGATGGCATAGGTTCACCACCACATGAGCTGGCCAGATATCTAGCAGGTATCCTTAAACCACTTGCCGGCAAGTCACCCACACACATCCAAGATTCGTATGACTTTGCCAAAAAAGTAGCTGGGTTTCAGATAGAGCCAGACGAAGTCCTGGCTAGTTTTGACGTCAGTTCGATGTATACCAACTTCCCTAAAGCGGACGCTGTGGAAGTAGGGAGAAGACTTTTACTGGTAGACGCAACGCTGCAAGAACGAACGCAACTCTCCGTAGACGAGATAGTTGAAGGCATAAAAGTATGCCTAAACCTCAGTCAATTTGTTTTTGACTCAATTGTATACTGTCAAGAACAAGGTTTGGCGATGGGATCACCAATATCCCCGATTTTGGCCAACATGTACTTGGAAGACTTCGAACAGAAAGCTTGAAACGGATTCGGGTGTCCACCAAGAGTGTTCTGGCGTTACGTAGATGACACGTTCGTTGTAATAAAGCGAGCTAAGGTGAACGAATTCTTTCAACATCTGAACACATTGGACCCTCACATTAAGTTTAGCATGGAGCTAGAAACTTAACCTCCAAAATTCAGGGTGGCCGCAGTCCGCCGGTTGTTTTTGGACGTACTTTAGAAGCAACATGACTCGAAAGGGCTGTAGAGTAAAGATATAGCTTGCAGTTTTCTCGTCGTGCAGCTTAATTGAATGGTGTATGTGAGATGTATCGTCCATTGAGTTCGTTTGTGACATTTCGTTTTACTTCCGTTCCCAACTTGCAGGAGATGTCAACAGACGCGACGATTACCTCAGCATGGTCAGACGCTTGCAACTCCCACCCACTTTATACGACTTCCTCATTTTCAAAGAGTTATGGCCAGGTGGAAATTCCCGTTTACCACCACCTCCTGAGGCGTTAAATACCAGAGTGCATCGCGAAGGCATTCACATAAGATGGGCTTGGGACGGATTCATGTTGATGTGGGAAGCAGCACTCAGACAGAGTGACTAGCTGGAGGGTGATGAGTTCAATCGATATCCGTGCCGGCATGCACCTCGCTACTTTGTAAAAGCTTGGAAAAACTTATCCGTTTGTGTCCATTCAAAACCCATGATAAAAAAACCTTGAAACACAGTCCTTCTGTACTTTATCCGGCAAAACGATACGTTTATTTTGAGAATTAGCAATCTTGTATCGTACTTTAACACCAAATCGTCTCTCCTAAAAGGTCACCCAGAACACCACAGGGGATATATCAGCCAAACTAACCCCGGAAGTGGTGAGATTAGTCTAACAAATGAATTTTGATTGGCTAAATGCGAACATAAAATGATCAGTTTTGACCCTAATATTCGTGTGATAAAGTCCACGGTAGACCAAAGCGAGGCACTCCGAGATCCAGGATCCACGCGTGTTTGAATCGCCAGATATCCAGAAATTTTCCCAAGGTATCTCCAAATTAAGTCAAGTAATTTTTACGCAGTCCTCAACAGTTTATCGTGCCTTATTGTGAAAGGGGGAAAATCCATTCACTGCGTTCTACCAAGGACGCAACACGAAGAGTGCCTCCCCCCACCGAAGCATTTGGAATTCCTCCCAGTTACTGGGAGAATTGGTGTAACGATGTATACTACTGATGAGGCATGCGAGTAGTGTGTGGTTTTCTCATAAATCCGCCTCGCGTCTATTGAAAAGTGAGACTTATTACGGAATTTGTGGAATTGCTTTGCAGCATTCGTTTATGTTTGAGTGATAGTCAATGAGTATCCAGGACAGTTCAGGAAGACCTGTTCGAGAAGAAAACGGATACACGAGATGCATATGAGTGTTTTGCTTCTCTGTCCAATAGTCCGGTAACTAACTCCACAGTGAAGGCTTCTTTTCACTGGTAGTTGTGTTGCTTAGGCATCTCGTTGTGCTTAAATCTTTAACGTGCTGCTCACCTTGTCACTTCCAGGTTGGTGTGGTTGTGTGTAGCATGACATCAGCAGACTGGACGACCAGGAGATATCGCAGTTTTTGACATCATAGGTCAATAAATCGCATCGCAAATGAATCGAACAGCTATTGGAACCGAAATCATTGCAGAAAGCCTAATAAACCCACCGACCAGTCAGTCTTCTGTGTCAAATCAGAGTACTTTCTACATTGCAAACAAACAATGAATAAAACAGCCGATCAATAACCGGATTCTAGCGGCAATAATGAAACGGAAGTGCTGTTCGAAGCTACGAAAAGGCTAAGCGACTTACCTGAGCTTAGTGACGTCGTTCTGTGTTTGAATCCGTTTGATGCGCGATTGAGATCTGCGTTTGAATCTACGCATTATGCTCTGGTGGATAGTCTGCAGCTTCCAGTGAAAATTGACTGCCGCGCCTGTAGGAATCGGCAATGTGTGGTACTTTAAACGGGTTCATCATAAAGACGAACCCCCCCCAAACCAATCTATCGTAAAGCTTAGTCATCCCCACTAATCAACAAACAGGGACATCAGACTGAACACCCAGCACTGATCACGTCACTAGTCATAAGGAGGAATCTCACGGATTGGTTCCCTGACTGCCTTAAAAACCAATCAACCTACTTACTTACTCACTTGGCCTGACGAAGCTTTTGTGTCAAAAGCGAAACGTTGCCCAGCAATAAATCCACCGATTGTTTACCAAACTCCTCTGAAACGATGACTTCCCAATCGGTCCCAAACATTTTCCAATTACTTGAACGTATTTTCACACAGCCCCTGAGGAAGAGATGTTAGGCGAGTAAGGTCACTGTGGCCTTCGAGATGAATATTTCTTATCGAGTGGTTTTACAGGTCATCGTAGGACCCTAAGCGGATAGTAGTTTGATGTTTATAATGCCTGAATTTTTGGGTTGAAGCCAAAAAATGTTCTGCTCATATCCACATAGGTTTTTGCCAAGCGCCAAAAATTCACATCCTGCACCATGGTAAAATCACTGAAGGAATCTGACCGTATTCTATGTGATTAAATGTGGTTTATGTGACAAAATGCTCCAACAATTTTACTTTACCTAATGTCGACAATAATAGGGTTTTCTTGGAATCTTCACAGTGAATGTAAGCGTTATCATGACAAGGATAAAGTAGTGGGATTTCAGAGATGGTCTGGCCGAAAACCATCAGTGATAAATGGTGGAAAAACGAAACAAACAGGGAGTGCACTAATCCATGGTGATCTAATTTGCATACGCATACAACCGCTTCCGGCAAACTTCAAAATGAAACCGCTGTGTGAAATTTCGAAAGACATCCCTCTGGTTTAACGATCCACGTCTGCAAAAAAACTCGTCATCCTTTGGTTCCTTTTGGTGTATCTATGCAAGATTTATCGTCAATATCACAATTATTAGGTACGCAGAAGATTTCGACCAGAATTCTTTGGCTGGGCATGACTGCCTATTTCTATTTTATTTTGGAGCCAGACAGAGGACATTCTGCCGTGGTCGAAAGTGGCAAAGTCAACGATTTCGAAGGTGTCTCGATGATTGAGACCTTACATAAGTTTTGGTACGGAGAACTTCACTTCTTGAATACTGCTTTTCCCGGATTGTGAGATGTAAGTGTAGCAAAAAAGCTAAAAATCACTACAGACCAGTTCATCCTGAGTTAGTAGTAGTGTTTATCTGTTTTTTGTCCGGTGGGAACAAAATGTCTGCACATAGTGATGCGGAAACCTAGTCAGTTCGTTTGCAATCAAATTGCCCAGCTCAGCGAACAAGCCAACGACCACCATCCACGATACCTGAGCTACCAACATTTTCCTCTATAGTTCCGGATATGTTTATTAGGGAATGTCGTGCTATGTCCATATCATGTGATAGTAGTTTGGTGGAGAACAGTAATCAGCAAATTGACATTAGTCCACTTAAAGATAGAAGATAGAGAGCAATTTATCTGTAGGCATGGAGGAATACACTCACCCAAACTGCTGTTGGCCAAAGCGACCCAGTAGACAATACTGACCACGATTATTGTGTCAAGTGCGATTATGTATATCAGCCAAATTGGCCCGTATAGAATGAGCGTAGCGTCTTTTCCTGAGAAGATGAGAAGACAAATTGAAGTGAATAGTACGTCTAATCTGTTCAACACTCGGGTTATGCTTTAGGGTACACTGTTTCCTTGAATATATTATGCAATTTGTAGAAGCGAAAAACGGGACTAAAGGGTAGACACTGGTTAATTTCTAGACAAAATCTCAATAAATCTCTTGTATCTCTTTAACAGTTTGATTTACGCTTTGGATATGATCACGTTTAACAACCATAGCAATCATGTAAAGTGTGAGTAACGCGAGGTACTCTTGGGCTCAATATTACCAGTATACCGTGTCTGCTCCGGAGATGAAAGCTCTTCTCAAGTGTATTCTGCATTGACAGAGGTAAAATGATAACTCCAAGTGGAGTTTTTAATGACCAGGGAGGAAGCAAAAATCATCACAGCCACAGCTGGAGGGAAACCAGTTTACATTAGCCTTCCATTTAAGGGAGATATACCGGCCGATCTACTACAGAAGACTTTAAGCCAGTCTGAACAAAGTTTTCCTGGCCGCAACACTCCGAACCTGGTTCACCAGCAGTCGTTTGTGCCCCTTTAATCTCAAGGATAGAGTGCCTGTCCACGCCCAAAATATGTTAGTATACTCATTCTCTTGCTGCTGTGCAGCGGAATACATCGGACGCACGATTAGGCAACTCGGTCTGAGAATGAAAGAACACAAAAACCTTGCCAAAAACATGTCTGTCAACCCATCTGTGTTCTTAATGTCCAGGACGTTGCCGGAATCGACTCGAAATAATAAGTGAAGTCCACAGTCTACACAGCCTATACAGTCTGCACAATACCGCACATATTACTGATAATAGTTTATGTACCAAAATAATATGTATTGCTAACGTGGAACTTAATTGTCATGCGATGGGGACTTCCAAGCACCAAGTGAGAAAGGATGTTCAGTTACACATCCATTGATCCAAAAGGGTATTAAAGTGAGCATCTGAATAAAAACTTTTTTGCGATAACAGAGGCCAAAGAGAAAGTTACATACAACTTTTTGCCTTGGATGAGAATAGTAGATTAGTTGGTCATAAGCCATGACTTTGATCGCCCAAGTTTTCTATGTATGATGGTTTGATTTCACTTGGAATATTGTAAGACCAAATTTTCTTTCAGAAGGATAAAAAGCATATGTTTTAGTTGTATAACGGTTGTTTTGTACACGGTGAAACACACCCGGAAGAATACGAAAAGTAGGAGGCTAATGCTAAAGTTGTACGAAAGTTGAGAGTGCAGTGACATGGAAGGTCATTCGATAGACACCGAAGAGACTTTTCGGGGTTACTCGAAGTTCATTTTAACTCAGGGGAGTAGATAATGATAAGGGGGTAGGATTCAGAAGCACGGACTTCATGCTCTGCAGTGGATTATCTTAACAAATTAGAGAAGAATATGAGACACAAACAACTCCTTGTCTTTTACGCAGAAGTGTTTCAAACGACCAGCAAACTGCATTTTATAAATGCCAAATGAACGAGCCGAGGGAAGAAAATCTGACTGTCCCCAAGGATCTTTGTTCACGACACAAACTGGAGAATAACTTTACAAAAGGTGAACATCTAAACATTCAGCTGCAGATAGCCAGTCAGTTGTGTGGTTGCTTTGTATTAAGAACAAAGAGAACTGTACAGAGGTGATGAACACGGATTCGGCACTGGTTTTGATGACCTTTATTGAGCCACTCGAAAGTGTAAGTGCCCTTTTGTTAGACCGACGTGACGTGGTCGATTCTGCGTCGGACTCATCAGTGGGTTTGAACAACAAACATGCACTCAGGACGTCATTGGTAGCGTGTTTTTCCTTACAAAATTCATTAACGTGCTGATCCTGGAAGTTAATTTCATTCCTGTAGGTCATGTACACGAGTCTGATGTAAACGGGGTTTTGTCACCAGCAGTAGGAGCTTTCAGAAAGTCACAACCAATCCTGCTACATCCATCAAAGCAAACCAGAGCAAACTATGTCGTCAGCTGCGTTTACTAAACCTTTTACGTGCCACTTCCAAATTTAAGACTAGAAGGATTGGTCCATTTTCGATAACTAATGAGGATGTTCTCCAGTGCGCTGAACAGTTCACAAACAGGGCTGAGCAATAATTCCGTGAACATTTCGTGTTAGGTTTACTGGATACACGCTCCACACAACGGTGTGAGAGGAGAACTTCAGCTGAAAGTCAAGGATATTTTCTAAATGAGGAGTGAATAGGTCAGTTGCCAAGCTGGTATTAAATACACAAAGATTCAGCCCATTTTACACGAATACAACTAAACCCACTGACCGGTGATCTGTTGTATATTCTTATGTATATGACCAGGAAAAGAATTTGTCGCGTTACGCACTACTCATAAGGTTGCCGAAAATTCGTCGACAACCCACAACCAGCTTCGCCCTTCTATTGGGGCTCATTAAGTAGGTGCAGTCCTTGAATTTCCGCCAACCCTATGCTTGGAAACATCACAAACTAGAGATTCAGCTGGGCTCCAGGTGAGTCTCTCGCAAAACCAAATAAGTTTGCAAATGAGTGTATTTCGCTAATGTGTTGCGTTATTGAAACAGATCACCTAGATTATTGCTGGAAATGAAGAAGTTACAGTAGAAATTTCTCGTTCCGGGCCCGTTGAATTTGCCCATTCTAGATAGTCTCGCAAAAGTTTCCGAAAAGTCGCAATGAACAGTGACTCATTAGCCAAATACGGGAATATATATATATATATATATGCAATATAATGAAAGTCAGTCTGATACAAGGCTTACTCTCGGAAACACGCAGAAAGCGGTCCGATAATGTGGTGAGCTTTGCTAACACCTCTGAAATTTTCATAAAGTCATAGAGATCCTCTTCATCTGAAGAACCACAAAGGGTGATCTGTCTACCTTATCGCTAGATATGAGAATGCTGTAGAGGAGCGGATGTCAGCTGAGTCATTAATTAAACACTTCGGAATCACTCTTGATGTCTTTAATCAGGGCGGTGAATAATTCTCGTGTTTTTTTTAACTTCGTTCCAACCAAATACAAATCTCTTGATAAAGTGAAGTGACAGTATGTGGTATCCATCAGCTGACATTTTCTGCTTCCTTCAAGCGTTTTTGTTAGCCATTCTTTTTCAGGCTGTCTCAGAATTGGCAAGAATTCTTAGGGTGGAGTTTGGGTGTGAAACATAAATTCTCTTGTTAATACCCACAGAGCCAATGGTTCACAACTCGTGAGATAGCTTAACTGCTAAACGAATTGTTATGAGGCTACCGAATTCGACTCCTTACGGGCAAACGCGACCTGATGTAAGTTTTCATCAATCGACAGACGCAAGGCGGCCGCAATGCAGGTCATATGGTCACACCCATCGTCCGCCTGAACTCATTTATTTATTTATTTATTTATTGTATTTATTAATTTATTTGCATCCGTAAGAACTAGGCAAGATTTTCTGAAAGCGCATGCTCGGTGGAATTTCTATACGGACAGGAAATGACTTTCAGTGCTTTCCTCTATTTCATTAAACAATGAATCAAAGGCACGCCAGCAACATCAGCCCGGAAGACTATGGTGAATTGAACCTGTCAAATTTTCGAGCACTTCGTTTGTAGGATATCAGACAGAGGTTTGATTGCAATCTGGCATAGTAAAGAAGCACATGGATGTCTCTAATCCTTTATGTAGTCTCTTTTGAGGTGACTATATATGTAATAGCTTCACACTGTGTGGTTCTTACTTGACCGTTCTTGACTATAACCACTCATTCCGCTCGACGAGATATCCATAAAGACTCCTCGGAAAAGACAGTATTGTTTTGGAATCATACACATACAGATTCTGGAAGGTGGAGGAACAAAATATCGCCGCAAAAATACCAGTTTTATCACTTTTTTGATGGGAATAACCAGGCTGATTGACTTACTGCGTGGGCAATTGTAGATGAGGCAGTAGAGTGCGAGGAGGAAGAAGGCGAGTGTGAGAAGTCCAAATGACCAGTTGGTTGCGTACACAAACCAAATGTGTGTCTTGTCGTGGAAGTAGTTGTGTATTTCTCTTGGGATATCAAAGCAAATCCACACCAAGGTACCCAGGGACAGGAGCACGCGATAGGTTGTGAATAGCCACGGTTTCATCCAAAGCCACTAGGAAAATAGGGGTGAGTGATGAAAGAATGTGTCATACTGCTTTCCAAATGTGGGCGGGAAAATAGGTTGTTGATGTAGAGGAGGAAAATGGGTGACTTAGTTTAGTCATAGAAAAGCAAATACCAGTACATAAGTTTCAGTCTATTGTGAGGTTAATGATACCTTCTGGCATCAAGGTCCATATGGCTTGCAGTTTCAAACCTTAAAGTGGGAAAAACTAGTATTCTCCAAGGGGCTGGTAGGATTTCCAAAATCACTGAGACGCATATGTGAAGCCGGCGCAGTGTTAAAATCATGCGTGTACTGATAGCCAAACGCCGTGACCTTGTTCGGTGGTCATATGTGGTAAAATCACTTTTTTGAAATCTTTAAAAAGGCACAAAAATTGAGTTAATCGACGTTGATTTTTGTAGAGATTTTGGGGGATACGTATTTTGTTCATATTCACATCACCCTCATTTGGACGGCCGCTCTCCTGTTCTGGAGTAATTATTCTGATGAGTGCACATCAAGAGGGAGCACTAGACTCGAGTTTTGCACTTATCAGAGTTAATCAACAGTGGATTTCCAATGGCCGTGCTGACAGCTGACATCTGAGGCGAGCGAATTACCACCACTTCACCAACGTACGTAGGACGCACCTCAACTTTGGCTTATCTTGACTTGCCTTGTAAGATTAGAGGTAAGCCATACAAGAAACAGAGGATATGTCACATTCTGACCTGATACTGGTTCGCTGTCACTCACATTATCTCGAGGGAACGGATGAAAGACGGATGCAAATGAGAGTCATGAATGGTCGAACCATCCCGCAGATGTTGTGGCCCATCTTAGCACTAGTTGTCTCTTATATGTTCACTATGTTATGTCCGACGTTCTCTAAAGGTGCTTGCCGACCCTCAAATTAACAAAAGGATTTATTCGGGTGCTGTTAGGCTTGACAAGAACCTTCACGTAGGTGAACAGTTCGAAGCTCCCGCCATTCGTCCTTAACGAGAAGCACAGAGCTTTTCCAGCTTCATTCTGTTTAACTGACAGAAATGGATGGAATCATAAGATAATTTAGAAAATGTAGCCATAACTCTCATCTATCCATCCTATTCGGTGACTTTGAACCGTCATTTAATGGTTTTCATCTGCTGAGTTTACGTGAAGCAAGACAAAGTCTTGATGAGTAGCTCACCATAGGTAGTACCTCGTACATTCGAACTTCTGCTTTCTTCCTGAAAAGATGATTCTGCTTCTACTAACACATAGGAATACCGTCTCGTTTACAAGACAGCACTGATGATCTTGACAATTGAGTGAAGATTAGATCAAACTCTCAGGCTTGTAGATACTGCCTGGTGTACGCTGTGCATGTTAAACTAACTATAGTGCGCTGTAAAACAAATTCTAAAGACTCATGCATGGTGCGCGCATTAATAGCGTTAAAAAACACGAACCGATAGTATTGCTTCGAACAAAGTCTCTATTCAATTCGTGCATTATATTTTGCATGCGACTTGCATCAGTTCTGGTTACAGATTCAGTAAGCTTACACAAAACTGAGTACAATTCGATCCTTTCACAGTGAGTTTTACTGTGAAAATCAGGGGAAAGAGCATTGCAGTACACGAGATACGAGCCAACACTTATGTTTCACAAGAGTAGATATAAGGGGTAGGGGACAGTAATTAATGAGTATGGCATTCCATCCCAGTGAAGTATCTACTAATTAGAATCGAATTCGAAATAAGGTAAAATTCACGACTACTAATGCTCCAAGCTGAGAACTAATCCCTAGATACATCAGTTAAACTTACAATCACATAGGTGAAGTATTTTCTTTCGAACAGGCTGATTAGCATTCGGGGCTTTTGTGCATAATGGAACGTTCACTACTTGTCATAGGTCGTAGGACAGAGCAACCAAAGAGTGAAGATAATACTCTTGTCATGGCTATCACAGCGGTTAGCATGAGATTCCGGGACTAAATCGTTTTTTGGCTGCTGTCTTGAATACCAGAGAATTTGTTGCATTTGAACCTCGTCATTCAGCAGGATATAACGGTGCCTNTTGGTTTCTTACTGAATAGGGGAACAGTTGCGTAGAAAATCATTTGGAACCGATAAACACTGTCCATTCATATAGCGAAAACGTAAGATGTAGCTTTCGCATATGTTCCATATCTTTAAGGACTTACTAAGGGCTTACTTAAGGATTTACTACATTAAGGAACACTGTTACAAATGTTTCCAACACCGGTATTCCAGTACCACCTAGGAAACTCTAGCTGAAACTAGTGACAACATATTAAACTAAATCATCCACCGAACCTCGGTAGGAATGACAAATCTAATAGACTGGTGACACAAAGTGGTTATGCTGGGCACTACTGTAATGTATGCACACTTGGTTGATATGAACAGTTATATTGTTCCACTTTGAACGTCTAGATGGGAGAAATGGTTGCCGCAGACAAAATGGTCAGAATGTCGGGAAGGCTGTTCGGTTGAGAGCAAATGATAAATGACTGATGGTGTGTCAGTAGTTGCTGGGTGCGTTTGCTCTCATTCTGTGTTCGGTTGGCACTCCAAACTAAATACCCGAGGTAACGTTGAATCGCGACTCCATAAAATCTCACATTTGTTCTATTTTTCCACTAAACAGCGCTTCAAAGCGTCTGCATCACTGTATCATATCATATCACATCATATCATATCATGTGATATCATATCATATCATATCACTTGATGTGGCACTACTTTCGAGATCTAGGTAGACTCCTATGCACCTGACTGCTGACCAAATCATTTTCGGGACTAATACAGTTGAGTCTATGATGATATTGTCTTAGTTTACGGGCAATTATTAGACTTTATATGCTTCCAAATAAGAAGAGGGACTGGCGAAACTCCGAATATCTGGTAAACCTGACGAACTTCGAAAAGGGGAAATTGGTCGTACGATATCCAAGAGATTTTATCAACATTATAACCGGTGTCATTTCGAGAATGTTCAACTTGGCCAGATTTTGTCAGAACGTCAACTGGTACTCAACCAAGGGAATAGTATTCGGTCAATACCAAATGAAAAGAGCTTTCAAGGTTTGACCTACATGGTTTTGATACATCAACCGGTACAACAATAAAATTACATATGACGTTCTCACGGAGCATATACACAATTTTCTTCCTTCTATCACCCCATTCCTATTGAACAATGACAGAAAACCAATAGAAATAGTAATGAATCGCATTGGTGGAAAAGATCTTACTCAATAATAATTTAAATAAAATTCTATTCCGATGTACTTTTTGACCGTTCGATAACAAAATTCTGTGCCTACTAAGCAGTACTGAGGTCTTGGCGACCCTATTCAAGTCCCTGCCAGCATTTTCGACCGGGATGAATTCGCTTTACTCAAATAAATCTACACACATTCAAAAAATAAAGCAATTAAATGAAATATTTATGTTTATTTGGGCCCGTCCAAGTTGAACAAAGGAATTCAAGTCTAAAAATCGTGTGGAATGGATTGATCACTCCTGCTACTAAACAAAGATATCACTTTGTCTGATTAGAGTGTCCCATTCTCGAGCCGAATTTTTACCACTTTCGGACTCTGCTTTTCGAAAATTTAAATATCCACTATGCTTGTGTTTTGCCTGCGAATGGTCTCGATCAATGGTACAATAAACTCGCACATTTTTTCTCGGCCATCTATTTGTTTGTTGGTCGTCAGAGAATTTGAAGTTGTGTGGTAGGTATTGTCTCGTTCAACTAAACTGGTCAAAACGTAGACAGCAAAAACCTTGTTACCTCATATAAAGCCTTTCAGTTCGTTGCAGTTTCAACTGAAGTTGAAGACCCTGAAGAAGCATTTTTATCAGCGCACTTTTTTATACATGTGCTCTTGAAGTTCTCTCGCAACAGAATGAAACGTCATTAGCTGCACTCGACCGACAAGAAATCTTGTTTACTCTTGTTTTTTGGACGATGCTCCTTACAACTTGGTGTGACGGTTTTTAGCCAACCCGGATCGATGAAATAACTTATCCACTTAAATAAGCAAGCCTCTTTGTGTATTAGCATATGTCGTTATCGTTTCCATTTCTGCAGTTGCTGATCTTTACATGTGTGCTTCCTTGCCAAACATTCCTAAATACCTTGGAGACCATTTTACATAACGACATGCATGTACGTTCTTCCAAATCGGTCACACGGCTTTTTACGCTTTTCATTATTAAATGGCACCAGTAATAGGAGAAATTCAGGGCCTTTGGTGCCTTTTATATACCTATCTTGTTGGACGAGTCCAGAGCTGTGTCAATAAAATGAGGGTAAAATCTTTCCGATAAAAATTTTGAACAATTCATCAACGGTTACCATATGTGAAAAAATAAGAATACAGCTATTGATGAGGGCAGCCTTCGATCACAAAATTGTTACCACAACCTATTTCGTTCTACTTATTTCCCATAAATACGGGTTAGTAAAATTGCAATGCAACCGGAGCTGAATCTCTAGCATAGAATTTACAACGGCATTACATGAACCCCTTCACGAGTTTCAGGAGTAGCAAACTCACTTGAATATTCTTTAAGGAAGGCCTAAGGTTTTGACAAATACGCTCATTTGCAAATAAATTTGGCTTTCGCGGAAGACTCAGGTGAACCTCTCGTTTATGATGTTCTTCAGCTGAATGTGCTGCGTACAGACCACCTTATGATTCAGTTGGTACGATATACGAGATATCGCAGTATATTTTCATAAAGAAAACTACTCACAAGGTTGATAAGTACTAGCATTGCAAGTGGTCAAAAAATAACGATAACTCTAAGTTTCGATGAGCAGTTTTTTTTATTATAACGAGTACGTAAGGATGGGTTGGCTTTAATGAGTGGCGAGCGCACAGGCTAGAGTGCATCTTTAAGAATGCGTTTCGAAAGTTTACAGTGGGCCGCAGAGTACCTGCGCATCGGGAAGCTGAGTCTTTACATGGGAAGCATTTT